TCGAAAGATGGCTGTCTTCTGGGTTGTAGCGCTGTGTAGTCCAGTAGAAGTTTACGGACGTTTCAGTGGTGTTTCCTAACTCTATCAAAAGGGCGATAGAGCCAGTATATACCCCTAAAATGTCGGCAAACTTCTACCAGACTACATGGCGCTACAACCTAGAACAAAAAATCCACAATTGATAAAGAGTCGTCAAAATAACGTATGAATAAATAGGAAATTGGTATAGAAATATAAGATTGTAGCCTATTTGTTAACAAATTCCGTTCCCGACGACCGATCCTGCAACTGGACCCCTTGTTCTAGTACCGCCAGCTAGGTCTGTATCATGTCAGACGCTATGAGTCCCTACTGTGGGTAGCCGGTGTTTTTCAAAACAGCAAATGGGAATTAAAGGAGTCCTTCGTGTCTACCTGTCATTAATCTTTCTCTTTTAACTCTTGAAGTTTCTGCTACCTGATCAAGGTGGCTATGTGACGGACGTACAAAAGAGGAGTATGAATTGTTCACTGACTTTTTATCATTATGCTTGCTTCCTCTGCGCAGACAATATATTCAGCATAGTCTACATCGCTTGGTCTTATTGTGTAGGAGATGCTAGTTTGCGTAATAAGATAATTTGATTTTGATCTTCAAGTAACAGTATTTATACTATGAATAGACAATCTGAGAGCTGAAATAGAAGAAGCGGTTAACAGCCATATCGAACTCAGTAATTTTCCACGAGCTGCGTATTACACACTGTATAGAATGAAGTTTGTGCAACTTATTATTTTTATTTTTTATCCATCCATTGTTTAGTACAATCTCATCAAAACTCCTACATATAGACCTGTACCAGGTAAATGCCTGAATGGTGGGTTTGCCTTAGTTTCGGCCAAGACCGCTTCCTTCTGTATCCCTCCCAAGTCGTTCCTTAGGATTGACCTATATATAATTTTATGCTATATACTCTGAGCTACTGTCAGTATCGTTAAATAAACCACAAATAAAGAAGTACATGTCGAAAATCGGCCCGACCTAGGTCCAGAAATCTAATCCACCCATTCAAATTTTAGCTCTGATTTCCACATATCGATATCCTTCTGCCATCTAATTTATAATGCTTACCTGGATCCAGTGCGTGTATATTTCTTCTGTTTCCAACGGATCTGTTGCCAGAAAGTTGTTTTGGGTATCTGGGGTTCATATTTTAATATGGTCTTAAAAGTTTTTTATACACTGCCCGAATTTATTCTCGACTGACTACGAAGTATTTGTGTGCTTGCATCCGTATTTGCCAGTAACGTCTTACACCATTCACCGAATTATAAACCAACATATGAAGGCCAGAGCACTGAAGACGATTTACCAATAAGGTATAAATTTAAAATCCAACATGGAAAATTTAAATATTTAAACAGTACTGAAGAAAATCAGAATGCTTGATTTTAAGAAATAAATTAAGCAGAAAGAAACAAAGCAATAATATAAAATGTAAAGATTTATGTCCAGTTTTATCGTGACGACTGATTCATAAATTTTAAAATGCATTCTAAAATTTCGGTGGTGATTGAGTAGATCTATAAAGACATGTATCGACTGGATTATTGCGTCTATAATAAAAAATAATAGTCTCTGAAGACGTAGACATTGTAGGCTACATATTTTTAACGTAAGCTAAGAAACCAATAAGAGAAATATTTGTACGGAGCAAACGCAGATTTATATAATATCCAAATAATTAATTTACAAAACGAAAATAAAATCAAAGTTAAAGCTGATTAAAATAATATCCCGTCTGTAGTTGAACCCACAGGTTACAATGACTCTTGACCTGCTGCTGTTCGAAATTGAGTGGTTTCGAAGAACAACGACATTAGTCAAAAATAGGTAATATCTATGTTACTGACTTATAGGATAAAGGGGTCAATAACATTCCGACAATAATCGCATTATCCTAGAAGAAAATAAATGGTTAAATATGTGTTTTGCTGCCTGCACTTAATTTCTCTTATTTATCTGTAAAAATAAATTACTTGCATAACTATGATTGTATTCAAATGGTACAACATGCGTAAATGCACCTATACAAAAAAAAGTTTCCCAGGTTCAGATGATCGAAAGGTTCGCCTTGACTTTCCCGGAAACTTTTATTTTGGACTATTCTTTATAAACCCCTGCTTGGAAATTTAACGTCTCTTCCCTGAAATGGTACATTAAATATGGGAAACTGCTTCCTCACACCAAACCACTGTGTTTGTTAATTCAATTCACATTGAGGCAGTCAAAAAATAAACTAATGAAAGGTGTTTTAGTTCAGCCGCCCTGCTTTGCATTTAGCATTTGTACGCGAGATATTAGGTACTAAATAGTCACGCTTTAGAGCACTGATTTAACACGACATCTACCGGCGCGAGTAGGAACTACGAATCGATTGTGCAACGCCGGTGGTTTAATCTCTCGCTTGACTGGTTTCAAATTTCTGTCTATGAAACATCTAACGAGGTTTTCAGAAATTCGCAAGCCACCACTGCTGATACTCATGATACATATTGCACGCATCTTGTGTAGGACTGTAAAAGCGGTCGAAAAATATTACCTATCCCTTACCTCAATTCCTCTGAACACATGATTACTACATTGAGCTAAGTCGCTCAGCTGTTCAAAGAAATTCTCAGGCTTTCATGAAATGTTAAGATTTGTTGTGTTCAAAACAATTCGGCATCGGGTTCTATCTCAAGCCAAAAGGAGCCGATCTTCATCTATAAGACAAAATCTTCAAATGTAATTACGTCTATTTTGACCATATATTATATTTCTGTATCAATATTGTCAGGATACTATAGGTTAATCTGAGTTATTGACTACCGTGATGCAGTGTCGTCATCTGTTTCACATTCGTAAAGTTTTGTGTTCGAATCTAGACGAAAAATGTTTTCATGGTTGTTCTCAGAATCTCTGGGCCAACGCTTGACCTCAAACACGAAATTGTCTTTTTATAGCTCACGAAATTGCATGATACGCCGTTTTATTATGAGGAAATTTATAAATATCTTTTCAAGCGGGTGTTGGTATGACCTAACACTAAAATTTGCCGTTATTGGAAAAGACTTAAAAGTGCAAAATTATGCAAGTATACAAGGTCTCGGGTTCGATTCCCGGCGGTGCCCGGATTTATAACTTTTGTTGGGCAAGGCCGTGGTCTAGGCAACACGGAGTTTTCCTCCGGGGGCTTCCCCGGTTTCTCCGTGGCATCCCAACAATTACTCCATTCACACACAGAAGAAGGCAATGGCAAACCACTTCTGGATCATCTGCCAAGAACGTATATGAACAGGTCCTAGTCCGAGAAAAGGATGGAAGGATCCTGTTCATATGGACCTGTCGTCAAACAGAACACTACAAATAAATAAAACAAAATGGGTCCGTAAAATACCACTGTGATATTCTTAAACCTAGACCGAAAGGAAATGTAAATATACGAATGGAATTCGTAAATAACTTCGGATGTAACAACTGTTCTTCAGATTCAAATACGATTTCTGATTATTTTTAGTACTGCAAGTTTAATTATATAGATCGCCAGCTTGATTACACGTGCTCAGGGTTAGATTCAGTTCCATACACGTGTCAACATGTTAATCTTGGATTTTATAAAAAGCATTTCTTTAACAGTATTATCATATGGTGCGCTAGAATACGTCATCAGGAAAGTGCAAGATAGGCAGGAGGGTTTGCAATTGAACGGGACACATCAGCTATTGGCACTTGCAGACAATGTTGATATTGGGAGACGACATAAATACAATAAAGAGGAACATAAATTTTACTAGAGGCTAGTAGACAGGTAGGGCTAGAAGTAAATTTTTAAAAAGTGCATGTTAGTATCTCGTCAGTAGACAGAATTATCTTAGGGTGGCTAATAATTCATTTGAAACTGTGACAAAGTTAAAATATTTGGGAAAAACAATAACTAATCAAAATGATACTCCTGAGGAAGTTAAGAGACTAAATTCCGGAAACGCTAGCTTCTTCTCAGTTCAAAATGTCTTGTCTTTCCGCCTGATTTCTAAGAACCTCAAGTTTGAAATACACAAACGATAATTTTTCCTGTTGTTTTGTATGGGTGCGGAACATGGTCTCTCACTCTGAGGGAGGAAAATATATTGCAGTGTTTGGGAATAGGATGTTGAGGATATTCACATTTATGTGTTCAGTGTTTATCAGTGTGAAAATCGGTAAGACATTTCACCGATACATGTAAATTAACTTCGGTACTTCCTGTTGGCAGAGTTATTTGCACAGGTGTGGACGTTTTGTTAGATGACTGAACTCCCACAAAATTTATTTGTTGTCTTCGTACAGAGTGATCTGTGTCATTTTGCTTTAGAGATTACGTAAAACGATCGGGCTCGAAGCTGACAAATTTTAAGTCAAAAGCTGGAGATATATTAACTGTGTTAGCCTGGCTAACACTGAAATATCCCAAGGCCTTTTGTGAGCTTCCTGGTTCCGACGAACTCTTTTCATGATTCAGTGATATTATCCATACATTGGAACACTGCAGAATCGATAAGATAAAATACGCCTAAGCCACCTGCAGCCAGCCAGGCCTAATTACCCACCGAGTTGATGCTACGCTCGTCGCGCGCGCCTGGCTGCCTCACGTGCCTAACAATGTCCTTTATCTGATCCATTCTGGTAGGTTTCATTGTGTGGAGGAACACAGAACCACTGACATGTTAGAGAAAACTTTTATTTTTCGTTTTTTAAAGGGTTTGTCGGTCTAAATTGGTTAATATGATAACTCCGCTCCTGCTCCAGTTACGAGACTTGCACACTTAAATTAGAAATTACGAATTACGTACATGACAGCCATTACACAACATAATTGTATCTGATAATACAATACTGAAAACGTCAATTCAACACATACAGCCAAAACTTAATTGTCAATTAAGTTCTTTAATTACTTTCTCCAGAAAGTTAAAAATAAGTTTCCGACCTACAACACATTATTTAATTCTATGCTAATTGTTTTAAATATGTCAATGCATGTTTATTTGCTAGTATCGTATCATACATTTTTTCATGTTCACAGCAAAGGCATTCTAAACAAGTCAGTGATGTTCATGCTCACTCACCTGAAGTTTCTTTCGTGCTTTCTTCCTGTTCCGTAGTGCTTGTTCTTCGCTAAAATAACAAAAGAATCTAAGGATAACCAAGGATTTGATATGGAGATCCACTCATTTTATTAATATATTGATGATAAAGCGATAAACGACGAATAATCATTCCTGAGTACATATCATGTCATTTTCTTATTGTAATTTTACATCTTCTCCTAAACTTATGTTCACTGTATATAAAATGGAGAGTTTTTTGTACATAACAATCTAAAGAACACACGACGAAGAAGAATGTGTGGAAGTAAGAGACTATATAACCAGATTAAAAAATTACATAACAAGGGGCTACATAATTTGTACCCTTCACCATGCATTATTAGGGTGATAAAGTCAAGGACAGAGCCATACAGTACACAAATAAAATTCATACGAAATTTTGGTCGGTCAACGGGACCAAGGCATAGATAAAACGTTTTTGCGGTGTAACAGAGTGTAAGGGTATGAGCTGGAATCTGGATAGGTTACAGTGGTGGGCAGTAGACGTTCGGGTTCTACAGAAAACAGGATATCTCGTTCATCCACTAAGATACTATCAGCTTCACAGGAAGGACTCTCTTCTATGAGCTGAGTTCCCCCCCCCCCTCGAAACTCTGTATAGAAGCCTATACTAGGACTCTGATTCTATGTGATGTGCATGCCATATAAAGGTTAAATAGTTCGGTCTTGTTTGAAAGGCACTCGGTTTAAAGTGGGTGCCTGGTACCCTCTTCGCGATTGTCCACAGACAGCTGAGGCAAGTAGCAGACTAGGACCTCAACACACAGACAATGTGGAATATATTTTAGGTAAAACAGTCTTACCAATGCTGTTTGCGTTTTCACTTACATTTATATCACATCGTTATTTAATTCGTTCACTCATTATCAGCAACACTAGCAAATTATTTGGTTGACATATTGTTAAATTGTCTAGAATGTATTGTTAATTTAATTAATTGTAGTTTGAATTTAAACAATGTATTTCGTTATTCTGCATTTGGATTTCTCTTGGGTTTTCTTCATGATCATGGATTGCAACTAATGGGGTCCTCTAGAAAGGGCTAATCCCAATCGGTAGTCTGGAAGATCCCAAATTGTAGGTTTCTTTTATTATCTCAAAACCGGGACAGAACCAGTCCTTAAAACGTCATGGCTTTATTTCTAAAAACTTACGACGAGGACAGTCTACAAGAAAAACAGCATTGAATGACTTACTTAGGGGACTCTGCCTCTCGTTATGTTCATAATACGTTTTGTGAAAATCTGTCAGTAGATACAAATTTGTTGCGGGGGATAGACGTACATTGATTAAGATACCATACGCCTTTTTCCTTAAGGAATGTATGCTAAGATAATGATGTGTGAAATTTCACTTGTAGGATAATACTAGACTACTACTTGAATTGTACAATTTCTGTTTCTTACAATTAGAATAAACAATTCGAAACAATTTAAATTAAGCCAAATCATGTTAGTGCTAAGACTTATTTAACAATATAAAATGTATAGTGCTGGACAGGGTATATTCGTTATGTCACTTGTCAGTAGTGAATGTATCAGAGACTGAACTTGGCAACATTTAGTGGTTGCATATTGATGATTAGTAACATAAATATTATTACCAATTAACAAGTAGCCTAATTTAGAACGTCGCTTTGTATGCACCACACAAACCTCTCTAGAACCGAATTTGTCGCCCAATGTCAAACAAATTCGGATCTACAGGGTAGATGTAGAGCATTACTTCTTATTGCTTCACGTGTCGTTCAGAACCTTTGAAAAGCTGATGGTTGCTCCCAACTGGACGAATCTGAAACAAATTTCACGTAATATTAAAATATATAATTATTTTAAACGTTGAATTATAGTATTTTAACGACTATGGTATTTCTCGTGAATTGATAATTCAGTCTCTACAATTATATTATTAAATTCAAAATTTACTGTGGACTATTTAATAGAAAATGTTTTGCCTAATTGGGGAGGCAGCCATTAAATGGTTTGGAATTAAATTAGTGTTCACAGTTTATACCTTTCAGACAGTGGCATGTACTTATTATCCGCTATTCATCTACATAGGTCGTCAGTACTACCACGATTATGGCACTCGTAACCAAACTCCATGTTTCACCGCCACAGCAAAATCATACAGTTGAGTGAAGTTTAGTGACGGCTACTATAATATGTGTAGTCCCTAGATTTTTGGTAATACTATATCTGCTTTTGGAATAGTAATTCACTCGATAAGTAATAATAAAATAAAAATATGAGTAATAGAGCGACAGAAGCAAGTAGAACGAAACTAGAGAAAGAAAGGGAGGAGAAATGTCTTTGATGTCATGAAAGATACAAAAAATTCTGTAATGTTTCTGCATTCTCGTCTTCTTTATATGGGCTCATGATTATCATCAACGTAAATCAAATTAAATAACTTCCCAGTATATTTCACATCTTTTAATACCGAAAGTCATTATGAATCTAGAATTAACACCGGATATTCTGATACTTGTAAGAACTAGATTTTGATGTCAGTCGTCTCTCACGGTAATGTAAAAGTCCTTCTATGAGACAAGCCCACAAATGTGACGTTTCCCCTACGTAATAGTACCTACGCAAGTAACGCAAGCCTTGTGATTAATGAAGCAAGGTCGCCGCTTTCAAGTTCATAGTTAGGTCAAGTGTAATGTTTTTGCTACCATCGTCATCAACATACTATCACAAGCTTCGTTCTCCTCACCATTACTCCAGTCTGTTACCTCTAAATGATGTGGCATTGTACAAACTATTAAAGACGAAACTCCTGAACCGAGTTCTGTTTTACACTTTATATTCCATGGACAGGTGTGCACATTTCCAGTCCTCACCACAGACGGGCAACAGCAGCAGAGTAGAATGATAGGATGATTAATGAATAATGAATGGGGGAAAATGTAGAAGGAAAGCATTTCCTACCTTATAAATGCATATTAGAAACGCCAGCTTAACTTATAAAAATAACAATACAGTACAAAAAATAAGGTACCCACAGTTTGTTTATGATCAGACAACAGAATTCACGACAAATCTTCTTCGAGCAAAATTAACATTTCCTGTTAACAACAGTTATTACTTTTTGTATGGAAAACTGGGTAACAATTTTCACCCACGCCTTGCGGATTTCAAAGACATTTAAAAATATGACGAAAAGTCTTTGTTTCAAAAAATATTATTTTCAATTCACTGCGAAATCCAATCACATTTTCTCTACTCTGGTTAATAAAGCAATCCTGGAATACATCTGAGCTCATTTTTATAAAATTAAGATTTTCATTACCTGTACCCACACTGAGTTCCAACGTAACTCAAAATATTATTCGTGTTTCAAACAAAATGACTGTACCATTTATATTATTAGATAAGCCAATTATACTTCGTCTGTTGGTACTGAACTTATTTAATTTATGCATACGAAAGATTTATTTTACCTACAGATTCTACACTCATTAATATGAACCTTGTAGTTCTTTTACTTGTTGGTTATTAAAATGAAATCGCTAATATCTTGTTTACACAAGTAGTTAAATGATGGCATCACCAAACACATTGTCGGTAAACAAAACACCAACTTAACAGTGACGTGTGAGAAAAAAAACATGGAAGTCTTCATGTATTAGGCCAAAAACATTTAATGTACATAAGATAAACTCTCGCTACAGTTTTAGATCAGTAGTTCCTGAGTTTGAGGCCCGATAATGTGTTTGTATTACCCCAGTACATTTTTAATACTGCGTCATGCTACATATATCACTGTTTAATTGTAGGCAAATAATTAATAAAACTAACAAATCAGAAAACTTAGAACTATTGAGAATGTGTGAAACAGTTTGCAGTCGTTATATTTTAACAGCCTCCCCCCTAAAATTTAAATAATGTTCATCATTTATAAACCGACGACTCGCCAGCCGACAAGAAATCATTAATGTGGCCTTATTTATTAAAAGGGCGATCAAGATTGTCGCTTTTATATAATATAAATATGTTTCTCTATACAACTGGAACGTTCATTGTTGTATTAGCCAGCATTGCTGAAATTAATTAAAAATATAAAAGGCTTTAAGTATAGCTATCACATTCTGGTAATCCTCCTGCTTTTCGTTTTTCTTATATCTTTCCTTGCATACTTACGACATACCTAAGAACCAGCACATATTACAGTACACGCAGGTTACCTTTCTAACCAAACGAAAGATGAGAGGGTCAGACCGGAAGGAGGTTTCCGTACGAGTCTTGTAGGAAATATTTGCTCCGGTCGAATCGTTCGATCGCTCATAGCATTTCGTACCGAGACACAAGTTAGCAATAGCAAACACCTGCACAAAGAGGTTCAACAAAGTAATTCATAGAAAGTAATGAGAGGGAGATCATTGATGATAACGGTAACTCTGTCGATGTTTTCTTAAATCAGTAGAAAGCCTCTGCGCACGTCCTTGAAGCTACTGAGCTTTAGGGTTGACTCGAACTTTGAGCCATGACGAATGTCATCCTAAAAACATTGTCTCTTATTATAAAATGTTTCCACTGTTAGAGCAATCTGCATGATATATATGTGAATCTGTGGGTGTTTCAAGGCCAAAATACTAAAAATGGAAGAATGATAACGAAAACTAGAAAGCTAGAATAATAATCGAAAAACTGAGACTCATCCGACATTTGAACTCAGCGCATATTGCATGTATCAAGGCCACAGAAGGACTTCGGCGCCCTCTCCCATTCCGCGTGGCTCCAAGTCAGTAGCACAGCGGTGCTAACTTTTCTACGCTGCGGATTCTGAGCTGTCTTTACTCGCCTGGACTCTGCTGTTCAAGTTGCGAAATTGTACGATTTTACTTTGTACCTGAATCATGCAATCTTTTTGCAGATACTGTACGTAGCCTTCTTATGTAGTAACCTGCAGAGGCCGCTCATCTAATCCCTCCTGTGTCCAAATAGTTATGGATCGCTTTCGAATTAAATTAAAGTCTCTGCAACAGAATAGAAGACCATATATCATAGGTATACAGTACAGTATTTGGTACTCTGTAAATTAGATATGGTGCTTTAACTGAAAATGACAATAATTTACAGCAATTATTAGTCTCCAATAGCGATATGAACTTTACACAAATTAAATATTCTGTTCTCAAAAACGTATTTTGAGATATTTTCAAATAATTTATTTTATAGTTATATTTGTGTTGTGAACTGCTGTTGAACTAGATTTGGGTTTATTCACATGTTTTTAGTTTTGTTTATACATAATTTTACATTACTTTAGGCCTATTTACTTTTCTGCAAGACAATGTTAATGTTCTTTTTAAAAAATATGTTATGTATTGTTACTAAATAAAAAATGACCGCCATTAGCATTATCAAGTACAGTGCCTGATGCACATAGTTCAATCCGTCGGTTTGCCTATCACAAAACCAAATGTGAATTGCACGGATATTGAACGTCAGACTCAACTGTGAGGAGCCGACATCGAACCGTCTAAATTATGAGGTATGATGCAGTTAAAATAATTGGAGTATCTCGTTTCGTAGATGTAGCTGATCCACAATTCTTGTGTATGGCTAGAACTTTCCCACCATATCTATAAAGAATGACAGAATCGTAAATTTCACAATAACCGCAATTTAGAAAATATATTATAATACTTTATTCGAATACGATAACCTAAACCTGATCCGTGTCTCGAAGCTGTCATGTAGCCATTGATTCTGTTTTTTGATGGACTCGATCAGTTTTCTCCCATACAGTTGCATATTCATTGTACAGTACAGTACAATACATTACAGTAAAAACTAAAATAAGAAGTTTGAATAAGCAAAAGCTTACTAGAGAGCAAAAAACCTTACAGTTTAAACAGCATTTATATTCTTCTTTATTTCTTCCAGTTACAGTACTTTTCTTATATTATTTATTACAAAGTAATGGTCGATACAGGACAAACTTGTTTTTGCTGGCCTTAGTTTGTGGACCGATGCTTTAACTAAATGGAGGTAGACGAAATGTGAGGAGGATAAGGAGGGAAAGTATTATCCACTGTTTGATTTGTGTTCAGTCTTCATGTAAGTCTGGGTTTTAGCTTTGGCAGGTAGAGCAGAATTAAGGGCAAATAATGCATCGTTTTGAGAGTAAAAATCAACTAATCTATAATTTATTCAAAGCCAATCATAACATTATGGCATGGCACAAGGTAACTTCTTCAGTATTACTGTTCAGTTGCTTAGAAACTATTAAGCCACTATTCTCGCAGACTGTGACAAACGTGCATAAGGATTAGAAAGAAATGGTGTCTTAATTTACGTATTTTTTAATTTCTCTAGTACTGTGTCTAGAAAACTGGTATGGATTTTTACTTTATAAGACAAAGATACCTACAAGCCGATTAAATTCCCATTACTTTAGATGGATGACACTTTGATAGATATTTCGTTCACCAACTTGTCAACATCTCTTCGCTGTTCAAAGAAAACACCAATAAAAATATTATTACGAACCATATGGCACCACAACATCACTCACAGTTTATTATTCTTCCTTATTTGTTGTACTGCAATGATACGTGCAAGCGATGACGCTTCGCATTCCAAAATGTTTTGTTCCCGTGCTGACACTGCAGTTTGCAGTAACAAGCGGCAAATCTCTTATTGACTTCAGATTTGTAATGGAAAAGGTTGGTTAGACAGGACCTCCAACGATTGTGAGACGATCATAAAAAATATAGTGAAGTGTCCAATAAATTAAGACTTCTATTGAGTCCAAAACGTTTCAAAGGAAAAAAACTATTACGTTAAGTGTCACACGGATGCAATTTATTCTTATGAGGAGATAACTGATGTATCTATCCCTCACGGGTATTAGATAATGGCACAATATAGTTATCAATCATTAGGAAATACGCTGATTTTTTACAGTAAGTAACGGTGATGGCTTTCAGTAATTTTATGGAACAAATCCAACAAAAGATAAAGAAGTTCCGACTAAATACATTTATTAAACATGACATAAATAATGAAGAGACGAGAATATTTAACAATGTTGATTGATATCGTCTCCGCTACAAAAAATATGGTTGAATTAAGAGACTTCATGCAATGTTGATGGGGTGTTACGAATCTAGTGCCAAGTTCAGGACGTTTTGAGCAATGCAAATTGCTGTATTAGGCATTTTTCTTTCTGCCTGTAATAGTAATTAAATACCTTGAAGTTCCCTCCAAGCTGCATGCATTTAAATGTAACAGTAAAATACTAGTTAATATACGAAAACAAACAGAAAATTAAAGTCGATTTTATTATACATTCTTAAAAAGATAGTCACACTATAGTTAAACATAGTTCTGCGTAATCGGCCTTTTTCAGTTCGAGTGTACTTGGCTTAACGATCCACAGTTTTTTGATTCCTAAAAAATAAAAATATTTTTCGGCTAGACGTTTTGCCATCCTTGCAAAGCTTCTTTCCATCACTCATGTTCGCTTAAAACGCACTTCAAATCGTGAAAATTCTTCGGTTGTCTAGGGCGCCTTTGTCAACCTATCCGTTAAAAAAAACAAATATACAGCCGATAGCCGGACGTAATCAATACTCGTTAATTCTTCTCTGAATCTCTCCAATCATTTATAAACTTCAGCTTATACAGTCAAAACATATTGAATTACCATTCTTCCGTAAATGTGACTAGTTTGCACCGTCTCTAACCACAGAACTTGAATCACGGAAATTTGATCCTATTTCGAATACTCCATCAACATTGCAACGACATTAAAGTTGTCACAATATTGTCACTGCTCAAAATATCACATTAAGTGTACTTGAACAAAAGTTCATACTGATTATATCCGCCATATTTTCAGTGCTGTCAACATAATATTTGGGGCAACATGTATACGGCTTAACTTTGATAAGTCTAACTCAGGAGTTAAACAATATGAAATGCACAAGCTTACCCGTTCATGCACTAGGGCGTTATTCTTTAACGGACTGGCAGAGAAAAATGATAAGAAATATGTATGTTTCAGTAAATACTTTCTAATGAAATGGTTAACTGCACTGAACAGCGTTCCTCTTCAGAAGCTAATAGCACGCTGAGGTACCTAACAAATTCCCCACCTTTAATGGAATGTTCATTACGGTTTTCATGAGAACCCATCACCGGTCCCTATCATGAGCCATATGAATCTAATCAACACCCACACCCAATTTATCTACAGTTAATTTTAATTACTCCCAACTGCACCTTCAGGCTTCCGAGTGGTTTTCTTTCCTTGTAAGCATTAATCATCTTCCCCATGCTCTTCGCCCATTTATTCTCCTTGATTTTATGATTATATTAATAGATCTGTTAGGCGAAAAGTACAAATTCTGGAGCTGCTCGTTACACAATTATCTCCACTCTGTACTTGTGTTATTTTCTTGACAAAGGAGACCAGTTTTCACACTCATACAAAACAACAGGTAAAATTACTGTTTTAAAAATCTTAGCCTTTACGCTTTTAGAGAGCAGACTTGAAGACAAAATATTCTGAGCTGCGTGGCAGCAAACAACTAAAAACCTAATTACGTTTGCTTTTTATTTTCGTCGTAAACACAATTTACAAGGAATTCAATGACGATAAAGTATTTCCACGATTTACAATGCATTGAACAGGAAATGCATCAGAAAAATATCAATTAATTTAAACACATTTTCACTATCCTAAGTAATTTCATTTGTATACCGAATTCAATGATGCCATATCCTAAAGTACCTCTGATCTGAATAATAGTCTTTCTTGAAGTCTATAAAAATTTTAATTCGACATTCATGATAATATTACCAAATAATTTAGTTAACATGTGGAATTAACCTTGACAGAAGAATGTTTGATAATCGAACTATTGTTTAAACTTGAAATATGCCTGAAGTTATTTAATCTGTCCTGTTATTACCTCAACAATGTTCGATCAAGATGAGGCCTCTCAATGTCAATTATTTCGTTAGTGTGGCAACAGTCGGTAAGTCGCTGCTGGGTTCAAAATCTTCTTGGGATGTTTACCTTGAGTTCTGAAGAGCAAAGCACTGAAAATCTGAAACAGAAATTTCCCCATCTCTCAACTAAATAACACGTCTTGATATTTCAAGAACAAAGAAGAATATTTTTTAATACAGCGGTTAAGAATTTGTTTAATTTCCTAACGGCACATGAGTTATCTTGTTCTTCAATGTTGACTCCACAAACCAACCTATTATCAAAAGTATTAAGGTGGAAATGCGTTACATCTTAAAAATCGACGTTTTAAATGTTTTATGTGCACTTTATTTGTATTACAGCTTTTGAGACATCTTCTTAGGGAAATCAACTACACGGTATATTTCGTGCTGGGGTCTAAAATTTTTGTAGTATAGAATCAGATGTTCTTTAAATACAACACATTAGATAGGAAGCGCTGTACAAACTAATTAATGCGAAAATTCTCACCTGTGTCTGGTTTCATAGAAAATATTTTTAAATTACAAAATCGTCTCTGGGTAAACCATTTGTTATTTTAAACATACTAATAGAGTAAAGGCTTAGGCTCAATAAATAAATTATTTATTCAGCCTATCGGCTTACCAAGGACTATGTTCCATGTAATTAGTTCACACAATTAATTGTCCGCACAAAACAAATTCAGATTACCACTATCGAAATATATCCTTCCACCTCGAACACTACTGAGATTCAGAATGGGTGGAGCTATAAATCCACAACCCCATTCTTATTCATTGCATGTTTAATTATGCACAGAAAGCATCACAGCACACATAATTATAAACTACTATAGCTTGTGTTTACATAGCAACATACAGGCAACTTTTCATAACCTGCAATCTTTCGTTTAGAATTAAATGGTCACTCAATTCCAAGTTTGCATTAATTAAATTATAAGCGTCGTAAGCACTTAAAACTTTTTTAAATACGTCTGAACCTACAGATTAAAATTTTTATAAAATTTGAAGTTCAGACCGATTCAGTAGTAAGAAGGCTAAATAAGAAAATGATTTTCTGCTTCAATGTATTGAAAATGTTATACTTGTACTGACGTGAACGTTCTTTCCATAGAATGCATATGTTTGATTAGCTATTAATATTAACCTGTCGTCTTGCAAAACTGGGAAAAACTAGAAAAAATATCCTACTTCTAAGGCTCTTGAACGAAAGATCTGTTCATTAATGTTTTTCTTCAATTTCTTATTTAGTATTTTCTCTTTAACGTTCGTTTTGTTTTTGTTATGAGTGATTTATTTTTCATTAAATTCGATTCTATATGTGCTGTAACGACTTTCTTTGGGGGAAACTAATTTAACCACTTCACTACAGTAGTAAGTAAGCTCAGAACTATATGTACCACTCACTATAATATTATAAAACTCCACATTTTGTCTGCAGAGTGCATTTATGGGTTTCGTACAATTCCTAAAAAAGTAATTATGTGTTTCTCTACCTGCGTCAACAAGATGTTTTTGTAATCGAGACATACCTTATATTTTCAGGTGAAACTAAATTTGTGAATATTATTTAGATTTATTGTGTGCTTCAAAGCGTTAAACGTGACTGTTCCAGCTACTAATTTAGTCAAACTCTGCAGTGGGATCAATCAAAAAACTGCAAGAAATTGGGCAGCATATTTTCACGTTGTTCACTAATATAAGCTATCGGCTGCCTTTGATTGAAGTTTTTTGCTAGCCGATGATAAAAAGGGAGCATATCTAAACGAGCATCCAAGTAGATTATCGAACTATGCAATGGCTTAGGGGCCGTAATTTATAACCGTTACATGTTGCAATAAATTTGTACTCTGAATGATGCTGAAACATACTAAAAAGAAGAAGACAAGGCATAATATTGTTTTAGTTATAAATGAAATCTCTTTATGTTCAAAAGAATACACAGATATTAAATAATATATTTATGGTTTAACAATTTTGGAGCGTTCGCCTTGATTTCACCTTTGACTTTTGAGAATGGCTCCAGTGACGTCACAGTTGTATGCCCTTTGCGTGGGCGGGATGTTTGGAGACGGTCTTGCTGCACGATGACATCATCACGGATTCCCCACCTGGTAGCCAGACTGGGGAATCCAAATGCAGATATTCCGCACCCAGTTTCGCGCACAGAAACGCACGTGGGTCTTCACATAATGTACCCGTTATTGTCGGACTGCTTAAAAATTTGTGAAGTTTAAACATGTTTTAGTAAATCTCGTCAATATAACATTACATGAAAATATGTTTAGCCGTTGTCGAGTAGTCAAACGCAGACACGGCGAAAATAACAGATACATTTTTGCGAATTTCATATTGGAACGTCTGAAAGTAGTAGCGAAAGCAAACATTTATTTACCTCCCCCGCAAATTAACTAGAAATTAATTCTGTTGTGGGATGCCGAGCATTTGCCTCAATAGTGTGTACGGCGTAGGGAAATCTAAGAATATACAACAATAAAACTGTTAGGTTTATACACAAGGTGGATACTAACGTAGAAATCTTAAGAAAAGAATATCACGTTTCTTTTTAATTTTGTTGTGATTCCTGCCCAGTTGTTGACGCGAACTGCTGAGCCAGCTGCATGACTCGCGGAACCAGCAGCACTTCACGTCTGGTGACATACTCTTCGAGTAACAACTGTTTATATTGCCGTTGAAATACCAGCGTATCTACACCGTAAAATCACGTTTTCAGGTGCAGTTGGCAATGACCGCCGAGCTTCAGCATCTCATGGTCTAAGTGTTATTGAAGCTTCAGAAGTATCCATTTAGAAACAGTACTCCACTCGGCCTTGTAATCCACCAGTTGAATCCGTTCAACACATTCACACCTTTTTTTCTGTAATAACCATTTTAATTTAGTCAATGTCGGTCTCCAGGGCAGTAAAGCCGTGTGGATATACAGTAAAACCCCTCAAGTTGGACACCCCTTTATATTGGAAACTTTTAATTGGAACCGGCGAATATCCTATAATTTTACATGTCCACAATATCCTATATCTTAGACACCCTTTTATCCTGGAACTTGAACACCCCTTTTGTTGTAAGTTGGACAGGTTCGTGCACTTAGCTTTAATGCTTTTCAGAGAAACTTTTTCAGTTGCATATATTTGACATTAATTAACAGTTCTGTCGCATAATGTTCGGCTACCACTAATTTATGTTTCATGTTATATGAAGTTTTCTCTTTAGCGTAAATAAAATTCATTTCTCTTTTAAAAAGAGCCCTAAATCGAAAAGTGACAATATATTAGTGCGAGTTAAGAATGCAGTTTCAACCAAATGTGTACAGTAAACAGTCTTGAAAGATTTTGAACTTGACTGGATATTAATTCTTTATTCACAGCTTTTGAGGCTGTCCTGGGATGCAGTCAGTGGCTTTACAATGTATTACGTTTTGACAAACATAAGCCAGCTCAGAATACACGCAGATATCAGTCACGTTTAGGGCAATCGGTGAATACGCACATGCCAAAACCAATAGCTGCGATACATATAGATATTAGTATTGTTAGACAATGTCCTTCACTGACCTTGACCTTAGGTGTTTTCAGCAAGTGCCTGTTTTGTCTGTGGTCAGGACTGAAGGATGTTTTCAGCCCCACGCCCTGGAACAGTGATAAATGCACTGTAATGGCTTACGGCACCGCTGACCTCTGCTACCATTCACCCCACTAACATCAGCCCACCATTACAATAGGCTTTGTATGGCTGGTAAATTAATTTACCCTCCTCTAACTTTAATGTTGCTCGCGGACCGCTCCGCTATTGCGGCCCGAACTGGACAAATGATTCCTTTTCCTATCTGAAGTATTCTTGACATTCATTTACAAAGACTTTCTCCAAAGGTATGTGTCGACAGCTTTGTTGCCTTCTGTAGTAGCACAGCATTTATGTGCAGTTGTGCTTCAAGTATAGCGTAATAAAATAATTCAAATTGGAAACTGCCGCTGTTTTATTGGTTCGTATTTCGATCTAGAGGAAAGGGAGAAATGTAATAGACTTGTTATAGGCCTATATCAAACCAGGAGTGTGTTTAATAGGGCATAACAGCCCCCTTCGAGATCCTTTTCAGTTCAAAATAAAGTCTGAAGTCCTATGAGATCAGAGGAAAAACAAGCATTTTGATTTTCTGGATTGTAACACTCTGTATTGTAGCAGATGGTTACGGCGTCATAGCCCACAAAACCACATTCCAGTCTCGTGGCTGTATTTTAAACTTTACGTGCCGGACTCTGAAATCAGCTAGAATGCTGGATCCAGTTTTATTAACAGTATTCTGTGACTAGCAGTGTCATAAATCTGGTCATTAGACCACCACTGCAAGTTACGATCTATAACAGTACCAACAGCAGGATGTAAGTCGTAGTTTTAACGACCTCTGCAGAGTATTAAGAAGATCAGATTACCAATGAAACACACAACAAAAACAAATAAATATTTTGTGTAAGTCTATTGCCAGTGAAACTGAAGACCACCAAAATAGTTTACTATAACAATTTTTCAGAATGGAAACACAATACGAGCACAGCAAGAGGCAAAGTAGGGGTTTGAGGACGAAAATAATCATAAACCTGCATTGCTTATTATCGTGATGAAAATTTATTTCATTGTCATAGTAACAAAAGAAGTTTTTATGTAAGTAAAATATACTCTGTAATTAAAAACCCACATGCAAGGACAAACATCTAAACGGAATTATTTCTGAAGGCCTTCGGTTGGCTGGTTGGTTAGTTAGTTAGTTACGCTGTATTTAATTATATTCTTGCTGATTAAAAGACTGAAATACATATCCGCGATCTTATGTGTAGATAGAGGCTTATGATTCACCATTAAAGAAGTTACCTGACCGTCTCACAGATTAAACGTAACAAGAAGTCGTGCACGTATACAAGTGTTTAAAGCGAGGTCATTACCACTTAGCTCGTATTATCATACGGCCTTCGTACTGCGTCTCTTTGATTCCGCGGGGAACTGCCTCAATTGCGTTTCGTTCAAGTGTTATTTACTGTTGGAACTGTACGTAGTGCTAATGGAATGTTACCGCCGTGAGCTTACCGTGTAATACGTTTGCGCAAATTATACAGCGGGCATGTCTATTAAGGGACGCTTAGACAGAGGTGTCTGTTCTGGGGCCCATCCCATGGGTTGGGGGGGGGGCATACCCGTCTAATACGAATCTTAAGCTTTAAATATATTTCCGTTTCTCTGTTTTCCCACAAGAACACACAAATGTGAATTTCACTAAACACGTTTACACTTTCCTTATTCGGAACAGAAAGAGCTGTACAAAATTTTTCATGCATTGGAAATTTAAAATCTATTAAAGGTGGGGCATTTGGGGTCGGATATCGTGTGTAATTCTAAAACCGAGTCGGGCAACATAAAGTCGAAGATGGCCGGTTATAGCGAGTAGGCCTACAGATTTAAATGGGAAAAATACGAAGCCGGAACAAATCAGTCACTAAAGGTAAACGTGAACTGCAGGGACATGACCTGTCTTGTATTTCGCCACAGCTTTCATGTTGCCTCATGGGCCCACTGGGAATTCCTTTCCCAGTTTAAAGCAGCGGTGCCTTCATCTTACGCCGATGTTAAAACTGCGTCCACTTATACCTCCATACCCTCAACAGGTCTTTATGCCGTGGTGCCATATTAATCACTAGAACGTTAGATCTACTTATGTAAGAATATGACAGGGCGTAATTTATATACAAGGAGTGCTATGACAACGAAGACCTGATAAATTGTGCCGTTGTTTATCCTAAGGTAACGTGTTAATTTGAGTCAAACACAATCACAGTGTAATTTAAGTTTCACCCTTTGTTGATGGAAAAATTCCAATTTTCTTTTTGTGTACATATCAAATATACCTGCATGAAAATATTATCTCATTTTTCTTTACATTAAATTTAGTATCACACAGGCTTTTGTGAACACACCGACTGTCCTTCATTGCAGATTAAAGTATAAAATATTTGAGAGTTTACATTTAAAGTTACAATAGTCCGATTTGAGGTTTCACGTCGGTGAGGACGAAGATGACTGTCTGATAGGCTGCAGTGAGTAGTTCACTAAAGTTTCAGAAGACTCATACCCTGATGATGGAAGCAGCAAGAACCTGTGAAACCTTGGTAAAATTCTACCGGACTACACAGAGCTACAACCCAGAGGACAGACATCTCTGAAGCTAGATTGTTGCCGTTTCTCCAATAATGGCCGAAAGTTTTTAATATATTACGTCATTTAAGCAGCTCACGAGAAATGTCCTGGAAAATACTCTTCTGACTGACTACACGTGCTGCGTATTCCTTTCTAAGCATGCCCAAAAAAAACATTTGTTTCTGAATGTTACTCGTGGTGTGCTCTGGGTGTTCTAAGGAAACGTCAAGACCATGGGTTCAAAATAAAGAAAATCCATGCTTAGAAGATGGCTGTCTTATTGGATGTTGTGCCAGCGATCGCCCTGGTGATCTTGGCAGTAAGTATTTCTAAAATATCGGTCATTATCTAACAGACTGCACGGCTCGACATTCCTAAAAATCTTCATACTCGTCGCCGTGAGAACCTTAAATCTTCTAGGATAAAATTTAGATAAGATGGCAAAAAATCTAGGGATAATTTCGGAATTTCTAATGCCATTATTGGAGCGTATTACACAGTGCAGAGCTCCATACGTTGTACTGTTTATGAAATATTATTTGGATGATAAAATCAAGGATGAGATGTACGGGGGTGTAGCGCGCATTGGAAGGAAGAGATATAAATAAGTCGTTAAACGTTGAGACCACCTGAGAGAAGTAAAGATTTAAGATTGTGTTCATCTTAAATTGCAGTGTCTCCTGCTATACTGTGGGGTGAAAACAGATAAATTCATTAACTATGCTCACAGTAACAATAAAATTAAGTTTCAGTAGAACTCTTCATACTTAACAAATAATAATCAGTTCGAAGTTTTAAAGTTATTTGGGTTACAAAAAAATCATACATGAGATTGAAGATGGCTGTCATCTTGTTTGTTGTGCTATGTAGTCTGGTATAAGTTTATCATCGTTTCAGAGGTTCTTGCTGCCTCCGTCATCAGGGCGATGAGTCGCTAATCAACCCTGAAGACAGCCATCTTCGGACAAACCGCTGTGAAAACCTAAAATCCTATTACATAAATAGATTAAGAAATAAAACTTTCCCACTTTACGCCATGTAAGCGTTTGGGGTAAGAGAAGATATGGCTCCTATTCATTCTTAACCTTGGCACTAGATGGGGGTGAGTGGTCAGCATCACGTCCCGGCCGCGATCTACCCCCGCGGGAAAGGACCCTGATACCCACTGGATAGGAGGCTGAGTGGGCCCCAGAACTGGTCTGGATGCAGAGGCTAGAGGAATAATCCTCTGCCACCGTCTGCGATCGAACCCCGGTCGTCCAGTCCGTAGCCAGTCACTACAGAGATTATTATACATTTATTTATTCATTTATGTTCATTGCTTCGTTTAGTAAAATGCTTTGTTAATATTTAGGCATGTGATGGCGATAAATGAAATGATGGAAATCATGTAACTGCTCCAGTACCTCGTGTGGGCAATGCTCCGCGTGTGATTTAGTATAGGTGATGACTCTTCAAAAAATGAGAATAGGATGAGAAAGACCGTAGGTAAGCAAGACGACCAGCTCTGGCTTCAAGCCAAGGTGAGTTAACGGTTCTTTCAACTACTCCACCACCACCACCCTCTAGCCCCGCAGCCCGCCTCACACCTAAGCTACAGAAACCCTTACAGAAATTGTTAGGGGGGAAAACCAGTAAAAAATAACCAAACCTCAATCCTCCATATAATTTGTCTCTGCCGCCATCTTAAATACATTTTGGTATCGCAGTTTCACCATTGCTTTATTCTTTTCAATAATCTTGGTTTCTTTTTCACAGCCATGCCTCTTATAAATTTCACCACTGAAATTTGCAAAGTTTTATTGTCTACGAGCAAGTAATTTTCTTACTTATAGCAAATTAAATTAGTTTACTCATAATTATTTAAATTTGGCCTAACTATAGTCAGACTACTATTCTCCTTCGTAAGAGAGTAGCAGCGTCGTTAAACTAGGTTATATGTGATACCTTTCCCCAAAAAACTACCCAAAATTGTTACAAAATCAAGGCATAGTTGCTCACGTGTGATTTATCAAAGGACAACTAATTTGTATAAAGTTTTTAGCGAATTTGCTTCATCAAACTGATGCATATTCTTGGACGTTTTGTCTGTAATGTTGATTTAAAACATGATGTTTCGGAAGCTGAGTCTACTTCTGTCATCAGATGAGAATAGTACAACCTGCTAATCTGGTCCAGAGATGAGTCTACTTCTGTCATCAGATGAGAACAGTACAACCTGCTAATGTGGTCCAGGGCCTGAGATTAGCTCTTTAAAATGAGCCCAATTGATTAGGTTGCATGGATTTCGACTGATGACGGAAACAGCTCCAGCTTCCGAAAATGAAGATGACCCTCTTCTGAACATACCTGGTAACGCTTTCAGTACTGCATGATGAACGTTTCTCCCATTCACGTGACACACCTAGCGCCTCACTTTGCTACCATAAACAGCTGGCCAAAGGAAGCATTTCCTTCTATCTAACCAGTCAGTTACCGTAGCCGTGAACATTTATAAAGACAAAGAATCGGGAAGAACTGAAAGTGATCGGAACAAGTTGATGACGTTAATTTACTGGGAAAAAATAAAGTAACATGGTCGCTGTTGAAACCTGTTAGGTTGCTGGTCAGGAAACAAATGAGGAAAACACGTTTATGTTTCGTCATCAAAAGTGTTAAATTAGCCTAGATGACAGTTAATAATATAAAACATTTAAAATCCGAACACGTTCAAGTGCACTGGGGCATGAACTTGAATATTGCTGTTTTTCTGGTAATTCATTGTTCATTATTCCAGTGATTGGGATTAGCCCGTTCTTTCATACCCATCAGAATTTTGCCAAAAACGGGAGCAGGGCCATTTGCCGAAACATAGTATCTTCATTTTAGAATATTGAATAATGGACGACGTCCAGAGAAACAGTAATATTGAACAAAATAATTTTCATAATGAAATCAATAACAGGTTAAAGATGAAAAATGGGAACTTCGTGCTACTCTGCACCTCAGATTATTTTATCTTCCCGTTTCTATAGCAAAAAATAACAGCTTGAAGGAAATTGTCGGTACGAACGTTAAACTCAATCTTTCACTCTGCAGGTACATAAAAGAAGGTGATGAGGAAAAGAGCTGAAGTATTAAAGGCTTGCTGATGACAGCATGATGAGGAAGTGCAATTTGTTTGGGACACTGCAACATGTTGAAATATACGGGCAGAACACGTAGAATGCATGAAAGAAACAATAAATACATACTCGACTGGTAGGGAAACCTCAAGGGAAGAGACCATTGGTATGGGTTACGTAACAGATAACGTAATCTGATGGAAAGATGTGAACTGAATTGTGCTAAGCTGAAATAATCCGTTTGCTCTGAGAATTACGCGAAACGCGTGAATAAATAATGCAGACGAATTGGTTCTTAAAGCCGGTCGGATATCTTTTACCACTGGTGTTAAATATGCGACAGGCTGTACATGTAGAACGCGTGGGAAGATGATAAACGCATAGGCCTACATTAGAGTCGAGAAACCTCGAGGGACGAAGAGACCAATTGGAAACAGAGGTGTGGATGAGAATATAACATTAACACATTTTAAAGTGGGGTGTGACTTGGGTTCTTCTGTTCAGGATAAGGTCCAGTGGAGGCTTTGAAGCACAGTAATGGGTCTTCGGTTCTAGTCGGGGACTTTCTTAACGAGCTAATTAACTGTTAGCACAGTAATGGGTCTTCGGTTCTAGTCAGGGAATTTCTTAACGAGCTAATTAACTGTTTAGTGTCTAGGAAAAGTACTGTGCCGTGTAGTTATTAATTTATTTAAACCCAAAAACTTGTTCCTTTCTGTTCTACACTTTACACACCAGCATCTCTCCTTTGAAGCTGGGATTTGTCACACGGAAATGATAATACATCAACCTGGAATTACTATTATCTTATGAGACTGGGTTACATAACGTCAGTTTTCATTAAAACTTGTTATTATCCTAACAATATTAGGTAAGGGTACATAGTTCCTTTATCAGTTTACTATGGAAGTATCTTATAAAATGGTAATGCACAGATATATTTGGAATTGTTATATGAACGATTTAGATAATACACGTTTATTAACATTGAGAAAGGGCAAATAAAACATACAGATGACACACGTAATACCAAACACAGTACTTCTGAACACAATTTTCAATACGTATATAATAATAATTGTATAAACGGTACACGTAATTAAAATTTGTTCATTTATTTAGAACGATTATGCAAATTGAAGAAAATCAGAAAATTACATTACGAAAATGGATGCATCTGGTCGCCATTTTGGATCTTTCTCCCCCTTCTGTTCGCGTCGGAAGTAACGACACGGAATAGGGAAGGATGAATGTTGGTGGCCAGAGCAAGCACACATCACTCGCATGTTCAGAGCAGCCACCAAAATAAAAGAAAAAGAGAGAGACAGACGTGAAAGAGGCATAGAGTAACAGAGGCTTACATAATGACTTTTGTAGAGAACTAGACCACTGGCAAGTCAGGGAGAGATCAAGGCCACTTTGGAATTAGAAGGGAAATGAGGGCTTCAACAGACCAGAGCAGGTCAGACCAGATGTTGAACTTAATTATATCAAAAGTTATTTCAGACTCTGTAAAGTTGGACGGTCGATAACATCGATTTTGCTTTCCAATTTGTTAATTATTCACAATTGTGAACGTGCAGAGAGTATCTTGACTGTGTGCTTTTTAAATAGGTATAACTGCTGAAGATAATGTGAAAATATGGATGCAGCAAACTAAGATGTGTGTTGTAAGTGTGTGAATTCAAAGTCATATAAACCATTACGGTGCATGAAGGCCTAAAAACACCGACAACCTGAGACAGTGTTGTGCTGTGTATGAAATCCGAGGGACAATTAGCAAATAACATGCAGAGTGTTGGAGTAGATAAACAACATTTGTTTCATTATAAATGTATTTATGAATATTGTACTCAACTGAATATTAACAGATAATTTTATGATTTTTCATAATCAAGTTACAGTAACATAAACAGTCGTAAGCAGGCACGCTGTTTCTGTTGCTTGTACAGAAATAATGCAATGCTTTCACATTATTCAATTCAATTTAATTCATTTTTAGAGTGCTTGGCAAAGGAGGCCAATAACAGCCAAGCACTAACAATAAATATTATTAACTGACAAATATTAAAATTAATAGTGACCTACCATAAAATTAGGCAAATCTTATAAGTTTATCAGTAAAACAATTGGTGTTCATGAAATTTGTTACCGAAAAGATTGCGGTCATAATAAAAATGGATGTGGCCAATAATAATAATAATAATAATAATGTAACACTCACATGTTCGAAGGTAAGTTCACCATCTTCTTTCACAGATGAACCGAAATTATTTATTGAAATAATAATCGGACATAGAACAGTTTAGCCATAGAGCAAATCCGTCTAAACCAGTGTTCACGCCACAAAATTACTATAGTAATTCTTGTTTCCGTGATATTTGATTTCACACACACACACGCGCGCGCACTGACTGAATACACAATAGCACCGCCACCAATGTGCCCGAAGATTCTGTTGAAGGGATGCTAACTGCACTGCCGATATTCTTGTTAGTAGCAGATAATACAGAAACAAGTTTTGTTACATGAGAAAGGTATGTGGGAAAGGGAAAAGAAGAATAAATATGGCTAGAAGAGGTTTTTTTTAAAAAAAGGAGTGGTGTAAGAGGGTTATGCAGGCACACATACCATTGATATGTGGGTGGGGTAGAGGAGAGCAGTGTCTATGCCCGACCACCGCTCGATCGATCCAGCTTTACACTCGCCCAACCCAACTTCTGTCATTTCGCTGTTACGTCACCACTACTGCACCCTCATTCCCCCCTGCCAATTCAATTGTCTTTCCACACCTTACCATACTGTCAGCATGACTTGGAATTTCCAAATTTCGGCTAAAATTTTGCTTTTTCAAAAGAAATTCATATCTCCTCAATGGAAACAAAAGTCACTCAATACTTATTGTCGTCATTAAGCAATATATTGAGTGTATGACTAAAGCAAACCATTATGCAGTCTTCAAAACGAGTTTTGCGTTGCATTTGTTCATATTTTTCAGCTTCATTTTTGAATCCGACGTTTCAAAATTTAGTCGTTTGAATATTGATTCAAATAATTGGACATGGTAAAAATTAATTTGATAATCCTCTGTTGAGTAATGATATAAACTGTTAATAAATTAATAATTACCGGAAGTAAATTCTAAATTCAAATACGAGCATGGCCTCACTTAGAACACGTTCGATTTAATCGACTATTCTTTCACGTCTGGATGTCCTTGAGTTTTAAATTAATTGTTATTCTTTTGAAGCCGATTCTCATCAAAATAATATGTACATATTCAAATCCTGCCTCTAAGAAAACACAATGTTTCTCCACTACAGGAAGCAGCCACTTAATGGTGTTTAGAAAAATGACAGCTTTTTATTCTAAGAATCATACAAGTCTCATAGCACTCTCAGAGGACATCATACAAAATTACTGATTGTGAAAGCAGGTTTTGCAAATAGTTACTACTAGACTTGAAAAGTTCCATTTTTGATTAATAGTTACAAAGAAAAAGATGCTTTCATTTTACTTATTTCCAAATAGACTAATATTATTTTTATAAATTCAAATTGATGTACCAAGACCATTATTTCCAAATAGACTAATATTATTTTCACAAATTCAAATTGATGTACCAAGGCCGTATCAGTTTTTATGTTATAATGGTTCCTACAGTTATAAATAATGAGTTTCCACTTAAATATACAACTAAGGAAAATAGAACTGATAAGTTATTCCATATCTGAGTCATTAGAAACCATGGTTTCTCTGTAATCTGTATTCCCACAAAACCTTCGCTGCTAAATTAAACTATGGATTCTCACCAGAAAATAAAATTAATGCTATTGGTCGATACTGATTATTTCGTGTTTAAACACGTGTAAAATATAGGGATGACGACAGCTAGACTTCTTTTATCTAGTACAAGCAGACTAATTTTTAAAAGCACATAATCCATTTTGTATTGTTTTGTTTTGTTTTCATTTATAAACATTAAAAAGAAGCTCATTTCCTATGTTTATTGTTTTGTTTTGTTTTCATTTATAACCATTAAAAAGAAGCTCATTTGCTTTGTTTTTGAGTTAATTAATCTTCTAAAATTGAAAGTGGGGCTAAGAAGAATAAATACACCGTATTTCAATATGCTTCCAGGATGAATATGAAAGGGCAGTATGACCTTAATTTAATGACAATAACATTTATCAGACATGTACGGATCCACTTCAATTTCTCATTAAAATTAAATGTATTATCCAAGAACAACAGCTGTACTTATGTATTTACTTTTAGCTAATTATGGCTCTTAGAACTCTATCGACAAATCGTATTTTCATTTAAACCATTCATGTACGTTAAGTGCTCATAATTTAACTACACTTCACACAGAAAATAATTTGATTATTACACGGGCCTGCAAAAATTTATTTTAGTTTTTAAATTACTATTATTGATGGTTAGGCGAAAACAAGGTTTTATCACTTAAAACACATTTACATTTTACACGGTTCAAAATAAAACATTACAAGCCACTGGTATGAAGGTCATATTCTTACCGAATAGAACATGCTTAGACTAAAATGCACTTCATTTCACGAGCTTTTATTATAACATAATAAACTCAGAAAGAATTGGTTTAATTCTAATTTGTTTCAATAATATGTTGCGAGACATGCTTTAAAATGATGACAACACAGCCATTTTCCTCCATGTTTGTAATGCAGAGCCATCTTCAGTCGTTCGTTTTCAACACATCAACAAGCCGCCATGTTTGTTGATTCGCTTCACTCAGAAACCAAAGTGTGGGAGAGGAGGGAACTGTGTTAAAAAAACTGAACGTCACGCAGCGTCATAGTGATGTGAAAACACGCCACAACATTACGTCATCCCAGCACAGTGCAAAAACAAACTCATTACGTCATCAGCACACATACATACTCCAGATTGAAACAAAAAAATTAGGTTTCACGTCTGCTCTGTGCGTTTCACTTCCTTCCTTTCTTCCTTCTGTCAATCAAACTGCAGGCCACGTAGGTGAAAACGCATTGCAATCAATGTAGAACAATGTAAAATTGCAGTTGATAAAAAATTCGGCATCACATTACGTGAGTTTAGAGCGTTATTTCAGAATCAGATCAATACATTCTACTAAAACTAACAACACGTGTACGAAAAAAAAGAAGAAGAAATCTTTCGTGCGAAAGAGATAAAGATTCTTCTCACTGTATGTGCCTTACGTAACCGTTTTCGAACGCTTTCAAATTCGTCCTGTCGGGTACATCGCGAGAGAGCGTTTTAGAGGGGCCTGGGGGGAGTAGGAGTACGGCTTTGCGGCACGAGGGGGGAGGAGGAGGAGAAGTGGTTTAACCGGGGCCAGACTGAGTGGGAAGGGTCTGAAAAAGAGCCTCGACCCCAAAAGTTGAAAGACCTTAGACCAAAAATTTTGATGGTGCATTGTTCACGCACGTATTAAGGTTGTTGTCTACTGCCATTTTAAGAAGTTGCACTCCGACAGTGAAAATTCAGTGTAGTCTTGTGGGCAGTAATAGGTAATTCGGAGGAAAATTTAGCTTCCTTCAAAGAACCCAGGCGACCTTAATCCTTATTCAGTAAGGCAATATAAATCGTGAGATATCGATAATACTTACGGACATTTACGACAACTCATTCGAAAGCTGATGTCCGGAACAGAAGCTATGCGATCAGACGTACAAATGGAAGCTGAGAAATTATGTCATTTTGAGTAACTATTACTGACCATTAACACTTATAAAATCTGTTTCGCTTCATTGTATTTAGTAGGCCATAGACGAGTGAAGTCATCTTTTTCCAGTCTGTGAATATTGACACTATTTGGATGTGGATATATGAAGTCTCTATTTGTCGTTGAACATTAATTATTTTTAATATTTTGAAGATTTCTTTCTTTTCCAAAATTACACCTGGAATATGTTCTGTAATATCGTGTTCAAGAGATCTGTAATTCGAAACGAACAGAATAACCCAAATGAACGTGTAATATTTCTATGCATGCATTGATTTCGACATAATTATGTCTTTGACAGAAAGTTCCTTTTAATTAAATTTGTAGACTCTATTATATAGACTGTCCACAGACATTCCTCTAATCACTGCAGCAGAGCTTACTAAGTTGTTTGGAGTATTGGAACAGAAACATCATTACTTCCTAAACACACCAAGTAAAATTGATGTTTGTTACAACCAGCCTCTGGAAACCACATTCGTCTGTCTAAATAACTAAATCCTCAGATGCTAATTATTCAAGTTTTGGAGTAAGGAAATACTTTCTCTGCAGTTGTGGTTAGGCCCATCAAAAATTATCCATGTCGGACATATTAACAATATTAATTTGCACAAGCAATTCTCGTGTATCATTTATATACAATGAAGCTAATATAATATTTGAATGTCTAAAGATCAGATATTATTAGTGCTCAAATGCAAATTAGATTATAAGTGAAATATTTTCTTCAAAACACAAGCCTGAAAGTTGTCCAAAATAACCAGTTCAATAATTTCGTATTCTAATTTGACTTTTTATAGATTATAGATCATATATGTTTATAGATTGTAGATTCACGAGATTGTATCAACATATGATCAGTCAAAACATATGCAATCCTTGTGGCTCATTTGACACAAAATGTGCAAGTAAATACTGTCCACGAGACAAGAATGGTCGTGGTACAAAGTTTTCGCTACTATGGGACTAGAGAACATTGGTCCCGCAGGGTAGCACGTTTTGTGAACATCCGACTTGAGTGGAAAAATCGTCACAACTCTAAACCGCTAGAATAATAAACAAACAACAACATTCAGATACGTACAAACAAGACTGGAGAGTAGGATTTGAGGTTTCCATTGCGATGAGCTGGAAGATGGCTGTCTTTTGGTTCTATCAGACTACGCGGCGTTTCAATCCAGAAGACAACCATCTTCAGATATTCGAAAGGTTTTCTTCACGCCAAATCAAAAAGGTCGACGTTGCACTGTGATCAGAGGTCGTTGTTGCGCAACAATTTGCTCCGATATTGCGAGTCCTTGGTTCGCATTGTTGCAAAAAAACTGGGTGTGATGATGTGGGTAGGACAAGTGTGGCTGCGGGGAGAAACCAATGGGCGGAAGTTGTAAATTGTGGACACAGTAATAAATTTTGCGGTTTCATCAAAAGCGGGTAATTTTCTTGAATAGATGAACGACCATTAGTTTCTGAAGAAAAATGTTAGCCCATCATGGTAGTTAATTATTTTAATACGCCAATTAAAATTTCGCTTCTTCGACTCCAAATTTCTGATCTAAGCCTAATTCATGTTCAGTATTTCCACATTATGCAAGATAATATTTGGAAAAGGGTTTACACTATTTTTTCGGCCATGATTATTTTGTTTATTTAACCCCAGGGTAAAGGAATTTAATAAAATTCATTTACTTTGAAACCTATAAATTTCAGAGTCATGTATGAATGTCGTATTATAATGTGGTGCTTGTTGAGGGCTTTTACCTCTTGATTGAATGTGGAGCAGTTGTTCAATGACGTCTTGCAAAGGAAAGCCGAAGTGCTTGGGGAAACAACTGTTCTAGTGCCAGAACAGGTTAAATATTTTCGTTTATTATTTTAAATTTCTTTACTTTATTACTCTCATACAAAAATATGTATAAGAACCTAATCGTCCTTCCTTCATTTCTCAGATTTCTTCGGTCCTGTCATACAAACTTACAAATAAACTTTGCTACTCTCAGCTCACGACTGGCATGATGATTGTTAAATATGTTTACTGTGGTGCGTCTTTGAGAATTTGAACTTGTTAACATAATTAATTAGTAATATTCAGGTTATTTAACAGGAAATGAACCAAAATACTAGTAGGGTTGTATCTTCCTGTTTAATGGACGAAATCGGAATATACGCAGCTTGAATCCACCCACTGGTGACTGCAAGCAACAGTCCTTGTCAGGCAGTTTTAGAAACGCATCAGAGATTTCCCCGCTGCTAAGTTGCAGAACGAACCAGTCACTCTCAATAAAAGTCCGTTAATAGGTGCAAACAGCCAGTAGTTTTATTTTTAACGTAAGATTTTCCAAAAATACATCTTAACTCCCATTGGATAGACGGGCATGCATAATCCATAGAATGGTACTGGAGGTATTATCGTTCTATCTAAGTCCCCCGGCTACTGTTTCCTCCTTTCACACCATATAACATTTTCGAGGGACAATGATGCATGGTAGTCCATTACTCTGCAAGCCAAAATATCATTAATCTTCTTTCCTTTCCTCAATGTAGCAATTCTTGTGATAGGTCAGTTAACGCCATTGTACCACACACATACACACGTACCTTCTAATTTACATGCATCTCCATTAGACTTTAATGACTGTTAACAGTTAACTTTTATTGAAAGTTACTACTAAATTCCACTTAAAACTTATGGGATTTCATGTGAAAGCTTGTAAAAATTTCGCAGGTCTGTGTTCTCATGCAAGTCTACACTTACAGACTACACGGCGCTACAACCCAGAATACAGCCATCTTAAGCCTACACTTATTTCTGACAAGTAAT